AGAGGAGGAACAACATGGCACAGACAAAATTGGGTAAAACACATTATTAATCCATTAGTATTTTTTTTTCATTCATCCATCAAATAATGACTGAAAACGTGTGAAAAGGTTTAATTGTATTAGTGCTGCAGTTCCATTGTACTAAACATGTTAAGACTACAAAGAAATATTTCTGTGATACCGGATTAAGCTGTACATTATGTTTTCAGTTTTCAAGTAGTATCAAGAGGTATAAAGTCACATGTAGTAGGTGTAAAGATCTCTATCAATGAAACAGTGTGACTTTGCTGGTGAAACTGGACCAACTAGAACAGGCCACTAGAAAGGCCATGTTTGACTCGCACACGTGCTGACAGTTTCACAACCCTACTCAAAAAAATAAATTCAAGAATTGTGTGTCTAAAAAAGCTTGGATATTCACAAGAAAAAATCAGAGGTGAACTCAATAGTCAATTAAAGGCTCCAGAACAGGGCAATTTGGGGCAAAAATGTCACTTTTTTAAACGTTGTTTACGATATCTTTATATAGACTATCAAAATAAATAAATAAATGTAAATCTACACAATTACATCTGTGTCTCACATACACTTGTTCTCATGTCATGTCTCAGGTTCTCGTAATCCTTTGAAGGAGGCAGCTATGGGCTTTGTCCTGGGGGCTGTTGGAGGCTGCATACTGGGAGCAACCGAGGACCCAGTTGATCAGACTCTGTCAGCAATGACTAAATCAGAATATCTTCAACCTGTGATAGAGGAAGTGCAGACAGTTGGTCCTCTGGGGCTTGGGACCCTTATCGGAGCCACAGCACTGACCATAGCCATGACTTCTGTGGTTGCTGGTGTGATTCTGGCAGCTGTGGTAGCTTCAATGTTTGTGGTTACACGGGGTTGTGGTTCCTCCTACACACATTCTGGTGTATTGTGGGTATCTGCAGGACTGGCCGGGGCCATAGGGACAACTCTGAGTGGTGCTCAACTTGGAGTTGCTGTTGAATGGATTGTTAAAAACTATGGCATGGTGGGTCTACTGTGGGCTCTATGCCTTTTCACTCTGCTCAAACCACCCCTGCACTTTGTACTGAAGCTACTTTGGAAACAGAGTGAGGCCTGTTGCAGCCTTGGTTCTGTAGCGTGGGTCAGGGAGAGGGAACTGATTGAAGTTACAGAGTCTGAGCAGAGACAGAGAGTCACAGTGCAGATCGAGCAGAGAATCCTGAAACTGGAAAATGGAGGTGACACTGATGGAGCTGTGGAGAAGGTGACGTGGGATAACGAGCGGAAGCAGAGAGAGGAGATAGAGAGGAAGAAGATGGAAGCCAAAGAGGCAGAGATAGAGCAAAGAACTCTCCAAGAATGGATCAACACAGTGGTCATCAAACACGTGGACTTCCTGGCATTCTCAGGGATACCTATGACTGTGGTGGCCTTTGTGATGTCAGTCTTTGGGGTGTATGGTTATGGAGGGCACCAGGCTGTGTTTATAGTCCTTCTGGCTTTGGTCTCAGTAATAGCCTATGTGCTTCTAAAGTCCTCAGATTTTCAGTTCTGGATGTTAGTCGGATGCATGGGAATGCTGGCTACGTTTGTCATAGCCATGCTCACCCTCCATGCTGGACAGGTGGTTGTAACAAGTGCCATGAAGATGCACGCAGCGGGAAAGACACCCCTCAGAGAGGACGTCAGCTCTCGTATGAACCAGGGATCCTCTTTGGAAGCTTTGAATGCTGCTTTCTTTGGTGCCAAACTTTGTCAGCTGGGATTGGGGGCTTCAGTTGGGGGGCCTTTAGTGAGGCGAGCAGCTGGAGAAGTCAAAGTCATAGGAGGGGCCGCTCTAGTGGCAGTAACTTTATTGACCGTAGTTAAGGGTTTAGTTCCAGTACTGGGAAAAGGAGGGGAAGCTGGGGCCCTGCTGGGGGTGGTGGGGGCCGCAGGAGTGTCAGTGGGTGCAGCAGCAGCCTTAGCTGGTAGGTGGTCTTCATGGCTGGGAACTGTGGGAACTATAGCAGGGTTAGCTATTGGGGCACTAGGGATGGGAAAATGGCATCTTGTCAACATTGGACTGCAGGTGCCAGTAGCATATGTCTTTGCTATGACTAATCCATTTTAACACAACATGTGTCTGAGATCCTAAGGGTCATCTGTATTAAAATGTCTTTCGCACACTTTTGAATTCATCTAGTTTTTACTACTTACTTTATGGCCTGAGGAGGGCATATTTGTTCTTTTCATTTTTTAAGGACTCTTTTATGACCTTGGCTGTTATTACTATGTTATGAAGTTTCAGTGTTACAAATTCTGTGCTTACTGTGATTCACTGTTACCCGAAAAACCTGGTATACAAAAACTACTTATTTCTAAGTCTCCAAAAAGCAAAACATAGTTATTGTTTGTTTATCAATAAAAAAACAATCTAATTGTGGTTTTATTCTTTACATTTCTTACTGAAACCTCTTCCTTTCTCCCCATACTTAAACTGTTCTCTGGCCTCATTGCTTGCTTTAGTGTCGTAAATGCAACTAGGGTTTCTGGTTTCTCTGTAAATAAGAATGTTATGAACACTGCATGCAAACAAACAGATGGTATGTTAAGATAAGGACTGATGCAGTATATTGGAAATGTGTCTGTGTGAGTATGTGTGTTGGCAAATTCATCTAAAACAGGGGTCTCCAACCTTTTGAGAGCTCTGAGAGCTCCTTTTACAAAATAAAAATGGTTGAGAGCTGCTCATGTTGCATAACATTTATTTTCTTAGCTCAATTTGAACAAACAAACTTTCATTTCCTGAAAATGTACAATATTTTACTGGCAACATATCTTATTATTATTATTATTATTATTATTATTATTAATAACGATAAACAAGAGCCTTAAGTCCGCAAGGACCAACTGTTTCCGGTTTTGCTAACTGACGCAAGGACCAACTGTTTCCGGTTTTGCTAACTGACGTGAGGTAGTGTAGTCACGTGACCTACAGGACCACATGACCATACCAGGAAGTGAGGAACGTTAACTGACTATCAGGTACGAACTGACCGAAAAAGGGGATGTAAAGCTTAGGTAAATAGGTAAGAAAAAAGCCACATCCGTAACGTTGTGTTCTCTGTGTTTACTTTACCTGAAAGTGATTTACTTCTTCTACTATCTTTTATATTCACCCTTTAGCAATTCTGCTTTTCTATGGTTAATTTGTTTAATAAAAAAGTTCATGGTAACACTTTAACCATATAACGGAAGTTAATCTTATTTGTTATCGTACAGTCGTTAGTTTTTGTGTTAAAGTTAAACAGAAAGCTCAAAACTAACTAAGACTAATACGTGACGTATTCATTTGACATTAAGAGCGTTACAAATGTTTTTGTCTAATTTTCAGCCTGCTTTAATTGTCTTAATTTTGAAATATTGTGTATTGTGTAAAAACAAACGTAAGTTACAATGAAAATTAAGTATACTCTCAGGAAAGGTTATCCGAAAAGTTAATTTATTTAAGAATTTAAACTAAGCTGCTATTGTTTTCATGTCTTTTCACATTTAGCTGCCAACTCTGTCATCAATATTTTATCCAGAGTATGCTGTAGATAATTGTACAGATTGATTTATTGGCTCTCAAACTATTAATTTGTTTTATTACATTGCATGTTTACCTGGAAAACGTTCTTAATTTCCATCAGGAGTTATTTTGTTATACAAACGAATTTCCCCCCAATGACTAATAAGGTAATTCTGAATCTGATTCTGATTGTAATAAAACATTCTCCAAACAAAGCTAAATGTTGGAACCCTTTAAGGTAGCCAGAATGCCTCTACATTTGTTTTAAGAAAAATAAATTAGCCTAGAAATAGTTCCAACATTAAGCCAACATATAGCAGAAAATGGCAAAAATTAATTAATAATTTTTTGTTTTTTTTAGTGATGGAGCTCGTAATTTGTTTATATTTGTTTTTTTTAGTGATGGAGCTCGTAGATTTAACCCTGTTCCTCACTGGGCTCTCCCTGACTGTGGCTCTGGACAATGGATTGCTCAGAACTCCACCTATGGGATGGATGGCCTGGGAACGCTTTCGCTGTGACATTGATTGTACGTATGACCCAAAGAACTGCATCAGGTATAATGATTTACTCTACCTTTTTGTAACTTTTAAAAATGGACTGTATCAAATCGTGTGACACAAATGTACATACATACATTTAACAGTGAATGTGTTGAAGACATTGCTGACAAACCTTTTGTCCTCTGACTGTCCTGGCTGCAGTGAGGGTCTGTTCAGAGACATGGCTGACAGGCTGGTTGAGGATGGCTGGAAAGAACTTGGATACGAGTATGTTATCATCGATGACTGCTGGGTGTCTAAGCAGAGAGATGATCAAGGTCGACTGCAGCCAGACCCAACCAGGTTGGTTGACTCAAGGATAGGCTTGTCTACTATCAGCAAACTTGTTAGAGTAATTTTCTTTAGTGCATTGGAATAAATACTGTAACAAAATAAAACAGGTTTACACGCTTTTACAAGTTGAACATTACTCCTTTTTGCAACTATTAGTTTCATGTCAAGGCTGTAAGTTTAAAGCCTGTCACCTTTTACAGTTTTATTAGTTTTGACCCACATTTGATGCCAATAACAGTTACTGCCCTCATTTGACCTGTCTCAAATAGTGATCTGACAGTTGTACGTGACAGCCATTCATGTAAAGATAAGACAGGTCTGTGGTCCCATAATGAGGGGTGGGACTTATGTATTCATAAGTCATAACTACATAAGGAGAGCCTGGAGGAAGAAGGTTGTCAACTGCTGGTCTAAATATGATTACAATAAACTACAGGGTACATCAACTATGGTGATCACTTATTATGCAAAGTAGGATAAAACCCAGTCCTAGTGTGTGACGATCAGTGGCTTGACACAAAGCACATTCTTGAGCACGGACGGATTTGTCCTTAGGGCAGCGCTCCCTCAGCTCACATTTTTCCTTGAACTGCTCTTCCCAGGTTTCCAGGTGGGATTGCAAAACTTGCAAGGTACATCCATGACCGTGGGTTGAAGCTGGGCATCTATTCAGACATGGGTTCTCATACATGTATGGGATTCCCTGGAACCACACTGGACAAAATTGAGATTGATGCCCAGACCTTTGCCAGCTGGGGGGTGGACTATCTCAAGTTTGATGGCTGCTACTCAAACCCTGTAGAACAGATGCTGGGTAAGAAAATGTGACTGTGGAGCATGTCATGATGAGTGTCTGAGGACCAACCAATGGTTGTGACACACAGGATACCCTCAGATGTCTAAGGCCTTGAATGCTACAGGCAGACCAATAGCGTACTCCTGTAGCTGGCCGGCCTATCTGGGAGGACTGCCACCTAATGTGAGTCTCTCTGTGAAAACAAGTCTGAGAGATCTGAGACAGAACGAGCCTTTTAGACTTTATCTGTTCACAGTAAATGATCTACAAGATGTAGACAGAAACGCCACATAAACATGGTCCGTAAACTACTTACAAGGGAACTTTATTGAGTCATTACCTATATAACCAAGACCTGAAGTTAATCAAGTCTTTATTGCAAACAAATCATGTTAATTTAGTTATGACCATATCAGTGTTTTCAGCCTCATTAGGTTGTTGCTGCAGCAGAGAACATTCAATTTTGTTGATATGTTTGGTCCTAATTATGACACTTATGAAGTCATTATTCTAAAATAAAACCTGCAAAGTTAATAATAAATGTCACAAATCTGAATTTGCATTTTTAAAATTGAATTTCAGCTTTTTTTCCCCCTGGTAACTAAAACCTTTTACATTTATTACTCATTTTATATTTATTACTCTTTGTCTCTGCAAATAGTCTTCATGTCACACGTGTAATTTTCATTCTATATTTTTGAGTTCTGAAATAGTATTAATTGCATTTCTTCTTAGGTGAACTACTCACTGCTGGGAGAAATCTGTCACCTGTGGAGAAATTATGATGATATCCAGGATTCCTGGGACAGTGTTCAAGGCATCATTGAGTGGTTTGCCAGTAACCAGGATGTGCTGCAGCCAGCTGCAGGGCCTGGACGATGGAATGACCCCGACATGGTACAGTATAATGATAAAAGAACAATCACTTGAAAAAGGACTTCATTAATAAGGACTGTAAAACTGGACATTTGTATGTGGACCTGTTGGTCACTGGTGACCACAATAATCAGTGGGCACAGTGGTTTTCCTTTGACCATACACTGTTCCCTGGTGTTGTCATTAATAGAAAAAGGCTAAATTGTTTTTTTTTTGTGTCAAATTCATTTTTTGTTCAAGATAAAGGAAGTGCTTGTTTAGATGTTGATGGAGTCTACTGTAGTGTGAGAGTCTCTTATCTTCAATAACTTATGTCATCTTCACTCTCCTCAGCTCATCATTGGAAACTTTGGTCTGAGTGTGGAACAGGCCCGTTCACAGATGGCTCTGTGGGCCATAATGGCAGCCCCTCTCATTATGTCCAATGACCTACGAAACCTGGACAACTGGGCCACAGCCATCCTACAGAACAAGGCGGCCATTGCCATCAACCAGGACCCACTGGGGATCCAGGGCAGACGTCTGGTGCAGGTTGTCACCAACACTGACACATCGGATTGTTCACAACTGATGTTCCTGTGAACCACAGTTTAGAGTCTTCACTAGTACTGGTCAGACTTGATGTTTTGACGTTTTGTTCGTGTGGTTTTTTTTTTTGGTTTTTTTTTACAAGGAGAAGAGTCATATTGATGTGTTCTGGAGGCCTCTGTCAAACTCAGCCAGCGCTCTGGTCTTTCTGAGCCACAGGACAGACATGCCCTTCTTATACCACACCTCTCTGGCCAAACTCAACTACCAACCTGGCAACTACATGGTATGACTGTGCCCCACCAACCCTCAGCCTCACCTTTAACCTCCTACTGAAAATCTAAAACAATTATTTATATATTTTTGAACCACTGAATGTTGCCTTTTTGGTATTAATGCTACAAACGATTTAATGAAATTGGTTGTCTTCTTTTGCTTCTAGGTCTATGATGTGTTTACGTCCTCCACAGTGACCCGGTTAAAAGCTTCAACAGACTTCACCGTCTCAATCAACCCCACGGGTGTGGTCATGTGGTACGTCTATCCACAACAACAATCCCAACGTTTACATCTTCACCACCAGCAACACAGAAAGGAGTCACATGTGAGATATCGTAAACCGAAAGCTGAAAGCACAGTGTTATAAGGAAACAAAATGAAGCGAATCCCTTGAAATTATGACTGAAATCAAGCTGTAACTACTTAGTCATGCACCTGCGATTCCTCAGTCATCCAAAATGTAGCGCTAGCATTCCTCTGGTTTCTCTAAACTCTCAAATGTTTGACATAAAAAATAATAATAATAACAAATTCTCTTCACATATTTTTTTTATATGAACAATTCCATCATTTTTATTTGTCACAAATAAAAACAGTTATCATACACATACATTATGACTAACAAAATGTTAATAGTTTGTCAGCCCTAATATACATGTGTGTGCGTGGGTCTGCGTGCACGAGCTCGTGTGTATATTTGATTCAGTTGATTCAGTGTGTCATTTCTCAAACAGAAACTCAAACTTGTCTCCATCTGCTGGTTCTTCCAGGTTACTGCCTGCCTCTAATAATAACTAATTTGAATCTGTCTGCAGGTTGAAATGTATCTGCTTGTGTTTTATAGCATTGTCAAATATTTCACACAGAGTATCTTTGGGTTTGGCATTTGCTATCACTGAATAATTTTAACCAAGTGGCTTCAGAAAAATACTGTAATGTTTATTGGGCATTTTAAATGGTGACTAAAGTGGCAGCAGAGTGTGTTAATGCACCATGATTGGTCCAAGCCTGTGTGAACAGTTATCTGATACCTGAACTGTTATCATGGGATTATAACAAACAAATGTTAGAATGACTGATTATACATGAAAATTAAAGTAATCATTTTCATAATTAATGAATGACACTGAAATTTACAAGTACAGTTAATAAAAAGATGGTGAATTAGGTAAAGTATCAGTAGAAAAAACAACTTTCTTTTTACTAAGGTGACCTGAGCTTCAACTAGACTAAAAGTGCAATAAAAATGGTGTTAATTATTCATCCGACATTTGGAAGTTTTCAGTGCTCGCGAAGATTTTTTTCTAAATTCTGTAAATATCCTCCTGGGTCAAATGTCGTTTTTGAATATGGTTCCAATCCCTTCAGTTTAATTCCCAGCAAATGCAAATACACAAACTGTATTTCTGTCAGTTTTGGACATGTGACTGGAGCTCCGTGAGGACTCTACCTGGCATCATCTCCTGTGGTTCTGGGGATTCAAACTCACATGTTTCCTCTGTGATCCAGACATCGATTAATTAAACCCTACGGCCCCACTTTGACTTGACTCGCACATTTCCTTGGTGACTTTGAGCTCTGAGGAATTTCATACTGAGAACAGCTATTACCCTTAGGTGCAGGTGATTCTGATCTGTTCCCTTATTTAGATCTTCACGGTGCTAAGAAACAGATCACCGCCTTCTCGACAGAGACAGAGGACGCACAGACGGACATCGTCTCCATTTTAGAGTTTAACACAAGGTTTTCATGTGGAGCTTTTGTACTGGGGTGACCCTCTTTACCAGCTGTGCTGCTCTGAGCCCCCTGTTGTTACTGGACTCTTCCTGTGGCCCCGGGTTCTGCTGAGCCTGAGGAAGTGGTCCATGTCCACCCACGTGTTTCCCACTGCAGAGCCCCCTATAGGCCTGCCCGGGTTCAGTGTGGGTCAGTGCCCCTCTGCCAGCTGCCATCAGTCACGGGTGAATCCACAAAGGAAGACATCAAACGGCCTGACAGTTGTATTTGTGTGTTTGGATCTTACAGTATATGCTGACACAAAATATTTACAGAGGCCCAGAGCCATTCAGCTGTTTTCAACTATTCAACAGGAATAAGCTGGAGTGCATCTCCGCTGACAGTTTGGAAGTCTGGTAAACTGAACTGACTGATGGAAATCATTATCTCGAAGTATCAACATTAAATAGAAGGGAAATGTGTTTTGACATTTAAAGTCAGTCAGATGATGTACATGCACAGACTTTCTATGGAGTGTATTAGTTGGTATTTTTCTTTTCTGATATTGAGAAATTGAAGTTGAATAAAAGTGTTAGACATTACAGGCTGTTCACAGTGCAAGCTTTGGTGTTTGTTAAGGTGCTAAACAGAATCAAACATGACCCAAGACTGAGTCAAGATGCTCTTAAGACAGCCTTTGTAGCCCAAACAAAGGTCACATTCTTTGCCATGATGGAACATGTTGTTTTAAAAGTTTGATGGTTAATTTGAAATAAAATGTCCCGTTAAAGATGTAGCTTGAAGCTCAAATATGAGCTATGGAAATACAATAAATAAAGTTGAAACAGTGGCAAACAATGGCTGAAAAAGCTAGCTAAAGGTTAGCCCAGAAACAGCAAAATCTTAGTATTAAACTAAGCAAACTAAATAGCTGAAAAAAGCAGCTTCATTTGCTAGATGTACCAAGTGCAACTGAAACATAAGAAATACAATTTAGCTTAAAATAGCTGCAGTTTAGCCATAAGATAATAGTTAAATAAATAAGAAAAACCCACTGTACTCTGTATATAATATAATATAATCACCCAAAAGACCAAAATAAATATACTCCTAAATATAACAAAAAAGCATTGACCTTAAAGATTCCTCTATTAGCAAAACAGCTAAATGTTGTCTGTGATTTCACCCTAAATGCCTTTTCGAACAGCAGAAAAGTTCTTAAAAACATCTCTGTTCTACCAAGGTGTCTGTTATCAAACAGGATATTAACGGTATCTTTTTATATTAAACAAGAACAAAAAGGACCAGTGTCACAGTGAATGATAAAAGAGCACATGTTTCCAGTGGGAGGAAACATCTGTGGGGAGGTTTGAACTCACATCTCTGTTATTTTTCAAATGATCTAAACACAACTTATGGGGAATTTCATGGAAATTCCTCCTGCTGCTTAAGTCCAAACATATTTATAATAATGAAGTATGGTTTTAAGTTTCTGTAGGTTGTTCCTGTGGATACAGGGGTTTATATTTCCCCACTCGACATTTTTAATAAGTGCTCCATGGTAAACACATGTATCAGATCAACTGATTAAACATGCATTCTTTTTCACTGTTGCTAGGGGGACACTTCTCTGATAGACCGAGCACACACACAGAGACTTCAGTCACACACACATTTAATGGACAACACACAGAGAGACACTCTCGTACACAAACTGTCATTGAACACATCTCCCATGTTGCCTTTCCAGGAGCAGGGGGCAGGATGTGTGTGCATCTGTTGTATACACACTGCTGTATGTGATGCACACAGAAACACACACACACACACACAAAACATGTGTGTACACACATGTTGTATTCAGTGGTGATTAAACACGGCTGTGGTCCTTTTTGTATCACATCCTTGTATTACCATGATCACTGATGTCCAACGACACATTTTCTGCACACAAGAAATCCTCATCAAGCTGCTACGCTAACTATGCTAAGGTTAGCGATATCATACGTCATATCAGAGCCAACGTAGACTGAAATGTTTCTATCATTTTTTCGCAAGTATTTTTTTTAACTGTTTGCCACAGTTGAAAATTAGTACCAGTTTTCATAATTAAAATAGAGGGATTGTGATTGGCTGTGATTGTTGTTTGTAGTCCCATTATTTATTTATTTTTGTGAGAAATTATTAACTTTGCTTTTACTTTGGCTTCTCTGATATAAAATACCTTTAAAGTGCCTTTGTTTGTCTTCCACCATGTACTCAAATTTCTTTTTCCCAGTAGCCAGATCCAGTTCTTGGCCCTGTCTACTTGCCATGTCCTTCCATTTCTCCATCCAATTCATTAATTCATTTTTGCATTCTTAACTTGGACTTCTCCTCTGTGCACTTCCTTCTTCATCATCTGTTTGGGAAAAGCTGCTCAACAATCCCAGCATCTGTTGTCTCTCCTTCTCTTCTCAGTTACACACTTTAGCCAATTTTTTTTGTTCCCTCTTCTTCAAAGACGATGTTCTTTTCTCAGTGTCCTCCACAAACATTTGCGTCGACAAACTGAAAAACATTTAAGGAAACATTTGGTATAAAATAAGTGTAAAATAAAGACGTAGAGAGAAGCAGAGCCCTAGGGACATTGCCTTATTTGGCAGTAGAGAAATATTTTCTTCAAAACAGAGAAAAAATCTTGTTGATAAGCTAAAAGGAAGTGAGATGAGATCTAGCCCTTCTTAAATGCAGTATTGGTTTCACATGTTGTAAATCATTTAACAACATCTGAGAAAAGTTGGGAACAGGAACAGGAACAATGGTACGAAGATTAAGTTGATCTTTGTTCCATAGTTTCTGTCTTCCTGGAGCCGCTGAAAGATGTTGAATCCCAGGCAAATGGTGTCAGTACTTAAAACACACAAAAGCAGGTATATATGTACAGAAACGACAGCATGTATCTTGAATATGTAGGCCAAGTGTGTTCTGTGTCAGTCGGCCCTACAGAGAGCAATCTTTGACCTGAGTGACCACAGATCAAACACTTCTCATGACCAGAGTCACATGATTCCTGGTGAGATCTCCCTGGTGGGGCAGAGTTTTACTATGGCTAATAATTCATCACTTGGACCGTGATGGAAAAACACAACTCTTATGTAATCCATGTAACTCAGTAGGAGAAGGTGCTCTCTCTCTCTCTCTCTCCCTCTCTCCCCCTCTCTCTCCCTCTCTTACTCTTTCTCTGTCCTTCAAGAAGTTCTTTAACCTTTTTTCCCTCCAACATCTGTCTTTTATTAAAAAAGTGACTTGAGTTTCCACTAACCTGCTGCAGTTCAATGGTGTGAGAACAATCAAAATACAAAAGCATGGGATATAATCCGTGTCCTTGATCTAACAGGGCGGTGACCGGCACTGCTCAGACTCGTCATTTGATGTTTACAGTCATTTTCATTAATAACATTTGTCGCGTGACCTGGAGTTCTCACATAATTCTAATGACATGCTGGCTGACTGTTGACACGATCTTTCACCAGTAGGAGGCAAAAATCATATAATCATATAATACCACATGGTCAAAAATACACATGGAAAAAAACAGGCTAGTAGTTCTCATCATATAATACCACATTGTCAAAAATACACATGGAAAAAAACAGGAGAAGCAGTGCAGCAGTGTGATATCTGTCAAGACGTTGGATGATGTCCTGCTGTTGTTTTTCTGTGTCTTGAGCCGTCCCAGACCCTGCTCTTAATATCTGTTGGCTAGAGATCCAAAGGTCTGTGGAAAATGTGTCAGAAAACTATTGGTGTATCTTTATTTATATTTTAATATTACGACGGAGACGGAACCCAGGCAGCAGATTGCTAATGATACGTAAACAAATGCTTCCAGCATACAGGAGCTTTTAATAACGCAGAGATCAGAATACATGTTGTGTTTGTTGAGGTCAGACAACTGTGCTTGTTTGTTTTCCTTTTCCATGTATTGTGTCATGACGAATGTCGATCAACGCATGGTCTGAAAGTGCTGCGTTTACCTGTATTTTACATCATCTTTTTACCATCAAACATCAGATGTCTCGACAGACTGATTATCAGATCACGGCTTTAGCTGACATACAGTGATGTCACTGATTACACATAACCACTGCAACACACGCCGGAGCAGGTTTTGATTACTAAGATGTCCACTTGTGATCACTGGAAGTCTTTCTTTCTCTATTTTCCACCAAAAAGCTAATATGAGCGATTTTAAATAAATCCATTAATCAAGGTGACAGATGTTTGAGGTTTTTGGGGAGGATTTTCTTTGGTCTTTAATCAACATATTTGACATGAACAACGTTCAGGCTGATGACGTGGCAGAGGTTGGAGCAAGTTGAGCAGAAAGACAAAAAAAGAAACCCAACCAAAAACACACACACACACATGAGCAGCAGACTGTGGGAACAAAGGGATGGAACTGAGGGGAGACTGAGTCCACAAACTGGCCCTGACACCGGGGAGATGCAGACACTAAATAACAGTGTCTGGGAAGAGACGCACAGGTGAAAACAGTTAGAGACAGACTTGATTAATCAGTGAAGAACAAGGGCTTGAAATAAAACATGACACGACGACACGCAAGGAGGAGACCGACAAAATAAAACAGGAACTAGAGTGTACAGAACCTCAGGAGATTCATATCCAGGTCAAGGCTGTACAGGCTGGGCCACATGGGCACCACATGGTTTCAGTGGAGGTTACATGGGTCACATGTGGTAAACAGTGGCCTTTTCGCCCACACATGAATTTTCCCCAGGCCAGCAGTTAACCTGGGAATATGAAAGAAATATTGGCTAAAAAAAGTCCAACATGTGATTCAAGGTTGATAAAACAAACAACATCTTATGTTGCAGCAATAAACAGAACATATTTTTGGTCATATTTGAGAATTTTTATTTATGTAGATTAATCATACTTAATAACAGCTACGACTATTCACGATGTTTGTGATTAATTCACAGCTGCCGTGTGATTATTCAGATTATTCAGTCTCGCGTGTCTACCTGCCTGAGGGATCAGTTTAATCACTGTCACCTGTGTGCTGTTCATTAGTCTCACTCCTCACACCTGCTGCCTGATGGGATATAAATATGTCCCTTCAACACCTCAGTCGTTCTTTGACTGCTGCATGCTGTCGTTTCTGCTCTCTGTGTCCACTGGGTGAGTTTTGTCGTACGTTACCTTCTCAGCCTGTGTGTTTTTACTGTCTGTCTGTCTCTGTGTGTGTGTGTCCAAGTGTGTTTTGTTTCGTTGCTCAGCCTGAATCTTTGATTGATTTCCATTGTGATCCTGCTTGTGTTTGAACTTGTATTAATAAAGAAACTGTACCTAATATTTCTGTCTCTGAGTAATGAAATTGAGTCGTGACAATTTTTGCTGGAGAGTTCTAGATAGAATCTTTCTAGGGCTGTGTATATTAAGTTTTTGTGTAAAGTTTAGATGTTTTGACCCATATAACACATCTAACAGTTGTTCAATATGTTATTGAGGGCAAATCATTTAAAAAAAAAAAAAAAAGTGCCACACATTTTCACAGCAACATTAACAGACTTAAGCCTGTCCTGTATAAACTCGCTCC